AAGAGTGATCACAGGCCAACGTCAGTCAGCCAACACGATAAATATGACATGCATGAGGAAATCTAGCATTACAGGCGTAACAAAAGGCAAGCATGAGTGCCAGACGGAACCAAAAGAGAGATTTGCATGTACTTTGCATTGCTACATGTCAGTGAGTGTATGTGCAATATCATATCAAATAGCATTTGCTCATTGGATGCTAGAATTTGCGATGGAATATTTATTTGATGACTTTTATTTGCATTGTAAGGATTTTTTAATGATAATTACACACATTAAAATACAGAAATAGTGTAATACAGCATGTTTATATAAATATATGAGCATGTCAGCTGTCAAAATTAATATTGAAATCTAACTAAGCCAGAGATGCCCAAAGTAGGCCCGTGGTATGCTTTAATTTGGCCAGCCATCCCATCTGAAAAGAGAGGCGGAATGATGGGGAGGTGGTTGAGGCGAATGCATTTGACAGTGATCCTTATTTTGAATTTAACGTAACCTTTTGTTCCATTGCTGAGCTACAAAAAAACGATTTAATTCAATGCCGTAAAGGAATCAGACTTTTAAAATGTAAATACTGTCAGCAAAGTGCATAAGACAAATCAAGTAATCAAATCAAAGTAAGCTTGACTAGTGTTGAGAACAGAGGTGCGGATCAACATGCAGTTTATTAATGGAGGTTGTACAGGCAAGGGTCATAGTCAGGAACAAAACAGTATCATAAGGGTAATCCAATAATCGTGGTCAATATACAAGCGAGAGGTTAGACTAGTCGAGAGGAGAAGCAAGACAAGGATCAAAACACACAGAAAAACAAACCAGGGAAAACGCTTTGTGATGTTCATGATTGAAACAAGACTCAGCCATGTGTAGATGAAGGTGAGGTGTATTTATAGTCCTGTAATCAGTGTAGATTGCAGCAGCTGTATCAGTGTGAGTGTCTGGATTATTGTCAGCTGTTGCAGAAGTTGATGAGTGCAGGGGGTTCTGGGAGTTGCAGTTCGTTCAGCAGTAATTTCTCATATAGAAAACCTCGCTGGCCATTGCAACAAACTACAGGAAGTAATCGCCAGCGGAGACAACACCACTGGCAATGCCAACAACTAGTGCGTTCAGCATTAAACTTGTGTCATAAAAGGGATTGTTTATGTTTTACTGTAATAAGTTCATTATAAAAATTATACTGCATTATACTAGTCAACATGAATTTTTAAACATTACTGAATAAATCAAAAAATAACTCCTGGCGAATTTAATATATATGGTTTGGTTTATATTCAACCCACAACCCTCAGTAAACTTAGCTTTTTTTGCCCTTTATAGGAAAATGTTTGGGCACCCCTAAAATTTTTTTTTACTTTTCTTCAAGCTAAATTTATTTTCTCAAATCTTTAATTTCTTTAATCATTTTAAGTTTAATTTTAAAATTTTAGTCAGTTTGGCTGATGTACAATGACAGGACTAAAAAGTTCATTTAATTCAACAAAAAAAACTTATTTAAATAAGTTTAATCATGTTTAAACTGTAAGTTATACAAAGTTAAATAATTAATACTTTAGTCAGTCTGACTGATATACAGATATACAGTTGAAGTTAGCCCCCCTTTGACGTTTTTTTTTTCTTTTTAAAATATTTCCCAAATGATGTTTAACAGAGCAAGGAAACTTTCACAGTATCTCTGATAATATTTTTTCTTCTGGAGAAAGTCTTATTTGTTTTATTTCGGCTAGAATAAAAGCGTTTTTTAATTTTTTAAAACTATATTAGGGTCAAAATTATTAGCCCCTTTAAGCTATATTTTTTTCGATAGTCTACAGAACAAACCATCATTATACAATAACTTGCCTGAGTAATTACCCTACCCGCCTAGTTAACCTAATCAACCTAGTTAAGCCTTTAAATGTCACGTTAGGCTGCATAGAAGTGTCTTGAAAAACATCAAGTAAAATATTATGAAGGCGACGCAGTGGCGCAGTAGGTAGTGCTGTCGCCTCACAGCAAGAAGGTCGCTGGGTCGCAGGTTTGAGCCTTGGCTAGGTCAGTTGGCGTTTCTGTGAGGAGTTTGCATGTTCTCCCTGCGTTCCCTTGGGTTTCATGGGGTACTCTGGTTTCCCCCACAGTCCAAAGACATGCAGTACAGGTGAATTGGGTAGGGTGAATTGTCCGTAGTGTATAAGTGTGTGAGTGTGAATGTTTCCCAGAGATGGGTTGCGGCTGGAAGGGCATCCGCTGTGTAAAAACGTGCTGGATAAGTTGGCGGTTCATTCCGCTGTGGTGACCCCAGATTAATAAAGGGACTAAGCTGACAAGAAAATGAATGAATGAAAATATTATGTAGTGTCATCATGGCAAAGATAAAATAAATAATGTATTAGAAATGAGTTATTAAAACTATCATGTTTAGTAATGTGTAGAAAAAAAAAAAGTGATCTCCGTTAAACAGAATTTGGGGAAAAAATAAACAGGGGGGCTAATAATTCTGACTTCAACTGTATGTTGAGAGGACTAAAAAAGTTCATTTAATTCACCTAAAAGCATTTCTTTACTGTGTACACATTGAATTATCATTTTAATCCAAACTAAACTGCATTTTCACTTTCTTTAAGTGCCACTTGGTTTGAAAAGCAATGACAAGGAACAAATATGACACAGCTCTGTAAACACCAGCAGTGAGTTCCCTTTATCTCTCTCTCTTTCTCTCTCTGGTCTCCTCTGGCTGTGGTTCGCGGGCTGCATTAGTGTTATGGATCTGCACCCCAAGCAGGCGTTCAGTGCTGTGTTAATTCAGCGGCTCTAATGCGGTCAGGCACTGCTGACCCCGCTGGTCAGAGAGAGTGGCCACTTTCATTGAACCCTCTATGTTTGCGGCTCCGAGACGCACCCTCGCACTCTGTGCCTGAAACGGCTTAATAACCCACCACAGCTGACATCTGAGGTTGGCAACCATCTAGACCACGGAGGGCTGTTCGCTGTTTAATATTAACACACACTGCTGTGCAGGTATGTATACACCCAAACAAACTAAAACGCAGGGAGAAATCGAAACCAACACTTACTTACTGAAATACACTGTACGTTTTAGGAACACACACATACAGTGTGGCTCGGTATCATCTGCCGGTGACTCATATGTCTTTTAAAGCTGTCGGTGATCTGAAAGTAGAAAATACTCGCTGCACTGTCCGAAATACAATACCTAACATAGTCAAAAGCGTGACCGAGTTAGAAACAGAATCCAAATAGTGTGCGATGATAAACCTCTAATACTGAAAGAAAAACAGCAGGAACCAACAGATTATCTAACCTGTTTAACTTGGCACTCGCTCTAAAGACGGCTCAGCTAGGTTTTTACTGCAGTAAATAACTGGGTATAAAGCAGACACAAAGGAGAGACTATCCCATCTCGTATCACCTCAAGTACTTCTCCCTCAGTATCAAACAACAGTGCACCGCAGAAAGAAAAGCCATTTCTACCAGAGCTGTGATTTGCAGTCTGGCATGAAATTGTACACAAGATGATAAATCAATAATAGGAACAACACATATTTATGTAGATTGTGCTGGATGCATGCACTAGAAACACACAGCACAATGTGTGCAGCACAAAATGACATTTGTTCATCTAATGAACCACTCAAAGTGAAATATTCAGTCACACTTTATCTTAAGGTACAATTCTCGCTACATTAACAAACCATGACAGATGACTTTAAGCTGAATAAACTACTAATTTGCTGCTTATTAATAGTTATCAAGGTAGAATTTGGGTTTATATGGATGTAGAATAATATAATGCTGTTTGTTCATCTAATGAACCACTCAAGATAAAATATTCAGTCACACTTTATCTTAAGGTACAATTCTGGCTGTATTAACAAACCATTAACCATAACTTTAAGCTCAATAAACTACTAATTTGTTGCTTATTAATAGTTATTAAGCTAGAATTTGTGTTTAAAGCGATGTAGAATAATATAATGACGTTTGTTCATTTAATAAACCACTTAAAATAAAACATTCAGTCACACTTTACCTTAAAGTACAATTCTCGCTATATTAACAAACCATTAACGATGACTTAAAGCTCGATAACCTACTAATTTGCTGCTTATTAATAGTTATTAAGGTAGAATTTGGGTCTGAAGCGATGTAGAATAATATTATGACGTTTGTTCATCTAATGAACCAGTCAAGATATGAAATATTCAGTCACACTTTATCTTAAGGTAGATTTCTGGCTATTAACAAACCATTAACTATGAATTTAAGCTCAATAAACTACTCATTTGATGCTTATTAATAGTTATTATGGTAGAAATTGTTTTTAAAGTGATGTAAAATAATATAATATCGTTTGTTTAACTAATAACCCATTAAAAATTAAATAAATAGTCACAATTTATATTAACAAACCATTAACTATGACTTTAAGCTCACTAAACTGCTCATTTGCTGCTTATTAATAGTTATTAAGGTATAATTTGGGTTTATATTGATGTAGAATAATATAAAGGCGTTTGTTCATCTAATGAACCAGTCAAGATAAAATATCCAGTCACACTTTATCTTAAGGTACAATTCTTGCTATTAACAAACCATTAGCCATAACTTTAAGATCAATAAACTACTAATTTGCTGCTTATTAATAGTTATTATGGTGGAAATTGTTTTTAAAGCAATGTAAAATAATATAATATCGTTTGTTCAACTAATGAACCACTCAAAATTAAATAAATAGTCACACTTTATAATAACAAGCCATTAACTATGACTCTTAGTTCAATAAATTACTACTTTGCAGCGTATTAATAGTTATTAGTATAGAATTTGTGCTTATATGGATGTAGAATAATACAATGGACTCTTTGAGTACTAATAAATATCTTAATAATAGGCAGGTAATAAGACACTGAGAAATTATACTTAAACTAAAGTGTTACCAAATCATTTCTATCAAACACAGCACAATACAGACATAAAGGGGAATTGTGGGTACTCACGTCTTGGCTCTCGAGGTCCGTCAACGGTGACTTTAATAGCGCGGTGGTACGTGGCGACTTGCGGCGGTCCAGTGAACACAGTGATGGTCAAAGTGAAGCTCTTTCCTGAGAGGAAGAATACGATGTCATGAGTTTTAAGAGGTATTACATGATCTAAAAGTCTTGAGAATTAATTTAATATAAAACTAAAAATTAACATTAATCATCACTGTAAAAAATGCTGGGTTCTACATAATTCCTTCATGTTGACCCAACACAAATCGATCAAGTTTTCGACAAATTAATTTACTTAATTATTTTAACAAATGTAAGTGGATTGAACATAAAATAATTAACTTGTCGCAAAAAACTCAAGAATTGTGTCGATTGAGCTCATTTTAAATAAGTAGTTTAAAAAAAGCAGCAACTTTTTGGATAACATACATGGATATACTTAGATAACTCAATCACCAATTTCATTTAAGCAACCTGAGCGCTGTAGTCAGCATAACAAAAAGGAGGACAAACAAAACTCGGCATTATAAAATGTATCATGTATATTTTTATCATCATGAAACGCTTTATATTATATTCAAAACAAAGCAAAATAGGAGTCTCTTTACTAGCGGTTTCAGATTTTTGGACCACAACCTTGGTATGTTGAGTCAGATTGAGTGTGGCAGCAAGAAACAGGGGAAAGTATTTGTGGTTTGCAACAATAACAAATATTGTGAAGTCAATATTTAGCAATATGCTGATGGCAGAATAATCTGTAAGTGATATTAGCATTCGATCATTTCCTGAAAGTGTGGGATAATATCGCAGTCGTTCTTTCGGTTGAGAAAAATAATTAAATCATATAAAGTTGCTTCTGCCAGATAAGCCCTCAGGTAAACACAGAAACTCCCTCAGGCTCGGCGAGGTAAAGATTCAAACACAATCCCGCCGAGGTGGGTCACACACAGCTGGGAGAAATGAATGGGTTTCCTCTAAAAAGAGACAGCACTACTGCTTTGATGCGCTTTCAAATGCGTTTATGATGTGGATTAGTCAGACAATGTGTTCCAGATTGTTCCCGGGACTCCGCTGTGTCTGTGTGCATGTGTGTGCGTGCGTGCGTGTGTGATCTCTAAATGCAATGAAGCTGCGCTTTGAGGGGGAGAAAGCCGTGGCTTGTATGAGGGCTATGAGGGTGGGGTAATTGACTGCAGAAATGAAAGGTACTTTTAATTCGCGCACTGCAGCGCTTTCCATTCATCCGTCTGCAACTATTTAAAGTGTAACATTTACAGGAAAAATGTGAGTGCGAGGAGCGGGGCCAAGAGGAAAACGACGAAAGGGAAAAGCTTGTGAAAGAATGTAAGCTATGTAAGAGGTAGGGTGTTTTAAGGTGTGTAAACAAGATGGGGTTTTTTAAACCTTACATCCTTTATGAAAAAATTGTTCTGTGAGGAAATTATTTTTTATGGGACATGTAGGCTAACAGAAGCATTCAGTTTTATCCGTTATATATGTGACAAATGTTTTTGGTTTATTTAATTGTTAGTTAGTACAGCGCTCAGCGTATATAAATACACCCCTCACAAATCTCTCTTTTAAATTCAGATTTTTAATAGGAAGCGCTACAATATTATATTTGTGCATATACATTAGATTAGTAAGCACTGAAGCCAAATCTGGAGCTTATCTAACAAAATAACTTACAATGACGGTCCAAAAACTATTACACCCAAATTTATATGTTATAGAAAAATATTAAATACAAATTTAAAAGAGATAAAATCAAGAGAAGCAACAAATTTTTAAAAAAAATTTTTTGCACGATTTAGCTTGAATTTAATTGGATTATCTTTCAATTTCTAAATATGTTTAGTGACTAAAATATTGTTTTAATAAATATATCTGTTTAATAAATCGGTTTTGTTTAAATGCATTACAATAAATAGTCTATATTCACTGAGAAATGGATAAAAATATTCATTTTTAAAATGGGGTGTACTCATTTATACTGAGCACTGTATACATATAACAAAAATGACACCCACTGTGTTTAAGTTTAAATGTAAGACAATTCGTAAATTGATATTTGTATGACTGGATTTTTTTTTGTATTATTTCTGTCTTGCTTTTTTCTTTTTAACATAAATGGTTTCTATTGATTCCAAAGCATGCATGCATGCATCTGCCCACAAAAAGACAAAGAAATGTTTAGATGTGGCACCTCTGCCGCTCCTGCCCACGAAGCGCAGGTCGTTGAAGCGCGCCACCTGGTTCTTCATGACGGCAGACGCGTTTCTCAGCTCCGCGGAATAATTCTCATCATTTCCCGCCATCACAGTGACCAGAGTCCCGTCAGGAACATCACCAAGAGCCACCACCTGATAAACACAGAGATAAAGCCATAATCAAACACACACACACAAACCCAATAAACCACAAATCTGGGTTGCAGCCTTAACAAAAATCACTAGTAATGTTAGGTATGTGTGTACTCGCAATTATACAGTTGTGTGTACAAATAAAATACAAATAATAGATATAATATTAGCTTTGCGAGTATATGCATCGTTTCCTTAATTATGGGAGCAATTTTATATTTTAAATTCCGTTGGCCCAAATTCAACGATTAATATTTATATGTGCAAAATATATAAACAGAATAGATGCGAATAACAACAGCATATAAACGAATCGTACATTCAGCAAACAAATATTAAAACAGTAATGCTAATAATAATAGTTGCATAATTATAATATAAAAATTTAAATAATTGTTAATAATATTTAATTATTATAATAATAATAATTTCATGCTAATTTTCCAAGTGCAGAAAACCGTGTCGAAACATCTCTGACGTGATTGACATCTGTTCAAATCATCAGTCAAGCAGTAAATTTGCCTAGTATGTTGATGATATCAGAAAATATATGAAATTAGCAAGTGTTTTAATTTTGCAGTTGCTATCAGGTGAGTTGACATTTTAAAAACATCTCCACAGTAATTTCTTATTGATTAACTTGTGTTCTTGGCACGCGCAACCAAGTTGTCTTTTGGCGCCCCTATATCAGTTAACCAAACATCAGCTAACTAACACATCTGTAAAAACACATTTTGCTATAAATTTATGCTAAGTAAACAATTAAAATAATTAATAAATACAAACAATAGTAGTTTAGTGATGTACCACTCGTCAAAAGTGCTAACGGAAAACTCTGTTGCTATGGTTATCGCTTCAGAAGAGCGCGAGTTCTGTTTAAAAGTAGCTAGATTTCTGACAAAGCCAAGAAATTAGTCAATATTACAGATAGAAGTGTTTTATTTACCTTAAACGCCACGGGAAGGGTTTTGTTGCACCTCCAGTGAGACGGCAGGACCGAGCAGAGAAAGTTTGGGCTGTCCGTGCGCACCAGCTCTCCGGCGTGATCAGCCAGCACGTCCACCACGGAGCGGCTCTCCACGGGCCGGCCGGAGCGCAGGGGGCCCGGCGCGCTCATGCTCTGGCTCTCGGTCACTTTAGCGCACGGGAACGAGGCGGAGGGCGGCGTGAACCGTCTGCTCGTGCTCGGGTCTACGGGAATATGCATCACAACAGATTTCAAATGAGTCCTCGTGAAAAGCTCGGGCAACCCAGTTGGTTGAGTAGGCTACAGAAAGTCCGTTGTGTTGGAGAGTGGAAAAAACTCCTCGGTGACCGTTTACTTTGTGTTGCAATGCAGATGCAGAAGCGTTAATACAGAGCGAGTTCCCCACTGACTTCAGCCACACACACACACACACGCACGCACAAACAATCTCGTGCTGCACGATAGATGAGAGTAAGGCATAAAAACAGAGTCTTGTATGCTTCTCAAAGCATATACAACTACTATTTAAGAGTTATTTATGAAACTGAATTCATCCCAGAGCGTGTACAGCAGGTGTGAGCTGCTCCTGAATATCAGTTTTACTTTCAGTCAGTTACTTTCCGTCCTGTCAATCCAGAGTCTCGGAAAATAAAGTCCAAACAAATTAATCCCTCAGTTTCAGAAGAGTTTCTGCAGCAAAGTCCCTTTCAGCTGTCAAGCGTTCTTTCCAAATGAATGCGTAAAAGTGAGTTAAAACGAGAAAAGTGGTTTGTGTTAGTCAGACATACGACTACGCGAACGCCGCGCTCTGCACTCTGCAGACGAGCGTTATTTACTCATCTCATTATAGCCTGGAGTGCGCTGAGCGCTCCACCAATCAGCGAACAGGGCAGGGTTTAAGCGACCAATCAGCGGACGGGGCTAGTCATCAAACGAGCCGAAGCAAAACTGAAAGCTTCTCTATTATCAGCGTTCATTATATTTAATGAGCAATCAATAAAATATTCCAATCCTCTTCATACATGTTTTGGCACACAATAAACGAGGAAGGTTTAGAGTATGTAAGGTGTAACCTTTAAAACCACAGACAAAATAATGATTAAAAAACTTTGAAGTTATTCATCATGTCTCTCTGTGTGTCAGTTAATGAAGTTTTTGTTAAAATATATTGCACGAAGTATTGAGCAATTAAATAATCTATTTAAAATAGTTATAGGGACACAAAGTATCCCTAAAAATAATAGAATAAGTAAATTAAAAACAGCAGCAATGATAAAAATTAAACAGTCTGCTAATGATCAGTAAGTGATAATATTAAAAAACATATCTTGCGCTAAATTAATTTTCTATAACTAATGGGTTCGTTCCATCATGCCACAACAACAATAATTACGATGGTCTCACGCAGAGTATTTAATTAGAATCTAATGAGTTCCTGTGTGGTTGACACACCCTGAGCTCGAACTGTCGCCACTAGTAGGCGCATGTGTCGTTTAAAAATCCTCAGCGGGGCCAAAGAAAGTGAGTTAAAGCGCATTAAACTGACACAGAACGGGAGGGAAATACAGAGACAGACTAAAACAAATGAAACTGAGCAATGCAGAAATAAAGCCATTCTCGTGCTAGAGCTGGTCATTTATAATGCATTATTTTCTACTCAGTTCTGCCGGTTTTCTTATTATTGGTTCTTGCGATGATTATTCGGGAAGACGCATTAAATGTCTTGGTGTTCAGACGCTAAAAAAATAATCAAATTTATTAACTATAAAACAAAATAAAAAATGTTTATGATGAGTTAACAGGCAAAGCAACCCTTATTTGTATCTCTAAACGTCCTGCTTTTATAAAACTAGGCTACCATTCGTATAAATTCGTTCATACACATTTATATAATAAATAAAATATTCATATTAACATACAGAGTTAAAATAACACACCATTTTTTAAATGCAGAAATGGAGAATTTAAATGCAGTCAGAATATTTATATACAGCCTCTCTTTTTTAGTTCGCAACAAACCAAATAATAATAACAACACTAATGATAGTTTTCATTACACATGGGCTACAAAAATCTGCATTTATTAACATTAATAATATTTAACTGACTGCATTTATAAACAACACACTGTAAAAATATATATAATCAATTAGTTCTGACAGCATGTGTTTTTAGTTCATTGTAAGTTAGTTAATCATGTTCTAGCTTAATTTGATAAGTTACGCAAGCTGTTTTAAGTCAGTATAACATAGGCTAATATAAGTTCAATGGACTCATAATATTAATTTGATTCAGCTTAAAAAAATTAAAACAACCCGGATTTATTTACAGTGCACAAATGTATTTGCATTAGTCATTCACGTTTCTGCAAGCAGATTAATTCGCAATCAATTTATTCTGCATGTTTTTGTTCGTTGGCTCGTTCTGTGACAGAAAGAGGGAGTGCATGTTTCAGTGTTATGAGCAGTGGGCTTGAGGTTTAACTCGAGCTGGCAGGAATTGTGCCAGAATTCTGCGGGTTCATATGCTAAAGATGAGCTCAGTTTGAAACCAGCGTTTGTTTACATAGAGAGAACATCACATTCAAGCAAACAAATTAAAACGACAAAATCGCGCATGCAATCAGTGCAATTTGAATACGACATATGAGAACAATCGTATTCGTTATTACTATTATTATTATTATTATTATTATTATTCCACGAAAAGCCAAGCGCCACAGCTGTGATATTTATTCTGTTATCGCATTCATTATTTGACAGTTAAACCACTGATATTCATCTTCAGCTCGATTTGAAAAAATGAGCCTAAAAGGGAAGTCAAAATCTCACCCACACTAATGGCCCAAAAGAGCAAAAAATATGCACAATAACGTGTCAAGATCATTAGCATGTTTCATCAACATCTGCTCGAAAGACTTATTGCAAACCTTCCTCTTTTCACGCCTTCCGTCCTCCCGCTGCAATGCATTTCAGTAGGTTGAGTAAGTATTGTCGAAACAGAGATGCATGCCGACGTGTTGCACAGTCTAAACCCTTTAAATAAAGCAGACTACTTTGTATGATCACATACATGCGACAACTGAGTCACATTGTTACATTACAACGGTCCTCTTGCATATATATTCCCATAATATAGGCTATACATTTTAATATTAGCATGCCTTTAAAATGGCATTACTTCGTATAATTTTCTGGATGTTTATTTATTTATTTATTTTAAATGTTTGTTTGTTTGTTTGTTTGTTTCAACATGTAAAGAAATTGACATGCTTTCTGTGTTTATTTTTTCAAGGCTTGTCTTTCGCATTTTAATACATTACCGCCACTAGAATAGATACAGCTGTGGTCCTAAAATAGATTGCTTATATTACTTATTAAATTATCTTTTGTTTTTCAATAACGTCTACCCCAATTCAACCATCACAATAATGTAAAAACAGTAATACGGAGTTTAATCATATTATTTATCAAATTACCTATTAAATGGTATTTTATTAACGTCTACCCCAATTCAACCATCACAATAACGTAAAAAACAGTAATTTTACGGAGTTTTATTCATATTATTTATCAAATTACATATTAAATTGTATTTTATTAGCGTCTACCCAAACCCTAGACCCAACAGTAATGTAAAAATATTAATTAATGTTGTACAGTGGCATAAAAATTATGCTATATTGATGTGAGTGTCCATAGCTGTATCTCTTCTAGACTTTACCGGCATGCTCACATGTAGCATATTCTTGAAGTAAGGGTAGTGTAATTTTAAAAAATAATAAGAATAATACTCGGTATAATTATTGTTTGTACATTACTGTGATGGTTGGGTTTATGTTTGGGCCGTATACAATAAAATACAATTGATAGATAATTTAATAAATACCTCCCGACCGTAGCTGTATCTCTTCTAGCAACAACCCTGCATGCCATCAAGACTTTACTACTTCACTACGTACTTTCACACACGAAATCGCAACATATGTTGTTATCCTGAACTCAAGAGTGCCGATAAGCACGAGCCAGTCAGGGGTCGTTGTGGATGCATGTATATGGGTGATGTTTTCCAGCATCTGTTCATTATTAATACGTGACCGCACGCGCTCAGACTGACTCCGCGCGCCTGTCAAATTCAGACTCCGCGCGCAGTTTCTACGGTTACAGTCGCGCAGCAACGTGCCCTCCTTAATGACGCGCGCCCCTCTGATATGTGATCTGAGCTTAAAGCCCGCGTCAAGTCCACATCGAGCAATCAAGCGCTGAGAAATGATGTGCGCGCGTACAAAGAGGCACGAGCGCTCAGAAACAGCCTGAAGTTCAAACAATGAAAAATTGCGCAGACGCAAGAGTCAGAGAGCACCCACATCATGCCATCAGTCTTCACTGGGGTACAATGGGGTTAAATGCATGTCTTCTGGAGTCTCCCTAAACACTAAATAGCAACCGCAGCTGTTTCTTGAAGATGTTTGTCGCTGTGCATTGCACAATCAGCCTGATGCATACTGCACAGTTAAGGTCGTTGCATGCAAATGTTGAATTGAAGCAACCCCATCTAAAAACGTTGCAGATCAACGTGGCCAATGAGAAGCCCTGAAAATGTCATATTCATTTTGAGACTAAAAAATGTTGCAATGTTTTGTCTGAGCATTGCAACAAATGGGAAATCCTGTTTTGTTCCTGTGTATTTACAGAAGGAAAAAAAAACTTGCCTAAAAGTTGCTCAGATGTGACTGTTTAACTACACTGAAATATGTTGAGTTGTTGTTTAACTATTGGGTTATTTCTCAATTAAATTTAAAATGCATTTTCAACCAAACTGTTAGTTTTGTACATGTTTGAACCAATGTCGGGTTAAAGCAACCCAACATTTTCAGAGTGTATTTAAAAATATTTTATTTATTTATTTATTTATTTATTTATTTATTTATTTATTTATTTATTTATTCATTCATTCATTCATTCATTCATTTATTCATTCATTCAAAACCTCATATACTCTATATTAGATAATATATATTTTTGGAATATAGTTGAATGTTTCTATGTTGGAGGAAAAAAGAAATTAGTTTGGGTATTTTTTTTTTCAATTGAATTTAAAACGTATTTGTAATCCAACTGTTGGTTCAATGCTACCTAAAATGTTTAGAGTGTATTTTAAAATATTTATTAATTTATTCGATATTAGATTATATTAGATTACACAACCGGTCAAAATTTGGGGTCAGTAGGATTTTGAAATGTTTTAAAATGAGCTTCTTCTGCTCACCAAGGCTTAATTTATTTAATCAAAAATACAG